GGAAAGAATACAAAGACAATGTCTTTGGAGAAAATATGGCCAGGAAAAGGGGAACTCTTTAGCGGCCTGGCCTCTGGTATGTAGACCTAAATTAAAGGGTGGGCTTGGCATCCTGAACCTGGGGCTGCAGAATGAAGTCTTGTTAATGAAGTTCCTCAATAAATTCTATAACAAAGTTGATGTTCCATGGGTTCATTTGATCTGGGACAGTTATTATTATCAGAGAGTCCCACATGACACTGCTATGTGTGGCTCTTTTTGGTGGAGGGACATATGTAAGCTAATGGATACATTCAGGGCTGTGTCTTCAGTATGCGTTGGAAAAGGTGACTCCTTGCTATTCTGGTCAGATTCCTGGGAAGTGGATAATTCTTGCATTCCACTACAGGATAGATTCCCCAGGCTGTTCTCATTTTGCATACAAAAAAATTCTTCTGTTCTGGAAGTAATGGCCACTGATGAGTTTCATAGCATGTTCTCTCTGCCATTATCTCAAATGGCCTACAGGGAGCTAAATCAACTTTCTGGAATATTGTCTGATATCTCCTTGGATGATAATGCTAAGGATTGTTGGTATTGGAAACATGGAAAGAAGTCTGGATACACAGCCAAGAAATATTATGATCTGGTCCATGAGCCAATTCCAACTAACCCCTTGCTATGTTGGATATGGAAGTCATGCTGTACTATGACAATCAAAATGTTCGCCTGGCTTGTCATTATGGATAGAGTAAACACCAAGGATATGATTCAGCGCAGAAAGTGGAAGATCAATGATGGGCCTGAATGTGTGCTTTGCCCTATAGGAGCTCTTGAAGACAGGATTCATTTGTTTTTTCAGTGTAACTTCAGCATGAGAGTCTGGAATTACCTGCAGATTTCATGGCCCAACAATCAGGATATGGTTCAGATTGCATGCCATGCTAGGAAGGAATTCAATAAGCCTTTCATTTCTGAAGTGGTGTTTCTTACTTGGTGGAATATCTGGAAAGTCAGAAATGATAAAGCGTTCAGGTATATCAGACCTACCTTCAGACAGTGGAGAAATGGTTTTGTCCATGACATTTCCCTTTTGGCTCACAGAATCAAGTCTAAACACAGGGAGGCACTGCTTAAATGGATTGATTTCCTTCCTCCTTGAGAGGTGACATCTATAGTTAGATTTTCCTTCTCTTTTAGGTTAGATTGTACATAGTTCTCTTTTATTTTCTTCTGTTTTGTTCCTTTTCTTAAGGAACCTTTCTATGTACTTGCTGTTCTTGATTTTAATAAATGCTGTGGGGTGTAAGCCCTGCAGTCTCCAGTCAAAAAAAATGCATGAGTTAACTAAGGAAAACATTGAGCGTATGAATGCTAAATATAAACTTGCTGGAGATAAGGGTAGAAAACATGTTGTGTTTGCACCTGGAGATCTTGTTTGGTTACACTTGCATAAGGATAGATTTCCTGATTTGCGCAAATCAAAGCTAATGCCACGTGCTGATGGTCCCTTTAAGGTGTTGGAGAAAATAAATGATAATGCATATAAACTTGAGCTGCCTGCAGATTTTGGGGTTAGTCCCACTTTTAACATTGCAGATTTGAAGCCTTATTTGGGTGAGGAAGATGAACTTCCGTCGAGGACGACTTCATTTCAAGAAGAGGATGATGATGAGGACATCAATACCATTATTACACCCATAGCCCCTGCTGCTATACATACTGGACCAATTACTAGAGCTCGCGCACGTCAACTAAATTACCAGGTACTTTCGTTTCTTGGTAATGATTCTAATGTTCATGAGAATATGATGCTGCCTAAATTGGATACATTTTTTTTGCTTACAAATGAAGGGCCTAGCTTGGAGAAGGATGAACATTGGAGCAAGAACAAGCATGGAGATGATGGCATGCGCAAGGAGAACAAGAACAGAGTTACAAGTGATGATTTCAGGACTTTGAAGCCACCATAATGAGTGCATGAAGCCTTGGACGAAATATACAAGATGCCACTTCATAAATTTCGTCCAGAGGCTATTCTAGGTGCCGCGTCACCTTATTATTGGGCCAGGCCCATGTAATTTCGAAATACATAAGTATAGGCTATTTTTAGAGTCCGTATGTGTGGGGAAACAAGAGATAGGGTTAGTTTCGGACCCCTCCACCAAGGGCCACGAAATTCACCCCCTCTTCCTCCATATATACAGCCCTTAGGGCACCGTTTAGACTTTGGGTTTTGTTTAGATAAAAGTTCGCCATAGCTGCAACTTCGCGAACTTCGTTTGTGTTCAACGACCAGACAAAGACGTCACAGAACCCCATCTTGATCAATAAAGCTTTCATCTTATATTCGCAATATCTAGATTGCAATCTCAGTTTCTTGCTTGTTCTTCGTTTGCCTGCAGGAAACAGACCCTCGTGGTCAGGTTGATCATGCTCCGGCGTGGTCAATAACCTCTCGGAGTTGGTTTAGCGATTGCTAAGGCGCGACGTCCTCGCACGTTCGTAGTCGGATCGTCAAAGTCGACTTCCTCCAAAACGATAGCCACCATCTCATCGAAAGACGGGACACCTTTGCCTCTATCAGTCTTTGTGTAAAAGGAAAACAAAATGATGTACTAATATCTTAGTATCACACTCATCCAACACAATAGCATAACGACGACAAGCAGAGACACTTTTATTTAGGATACAACCATGACACGATACTCCGTGGATGCAACTAGGTGAGCTGTGTGGACGAGGACATATAGAGCCGAAAAAACCAACTTCTAGGATAGCCTTTAGATCCAAAGAAGTTCAAGCTACAAATATATTTAAAAACGTTGTAGATTCTTTGAGCAACTGCTTCACTTTTCCATCGCACAATGAGTGATGCGGAGAAGCAGCCTAGATCAATCCTCCCGAGACTCTCAAGGCTTGCAAGGTCTCCACCACTAGCCGAATGGACCAAACTATCGGTTGATGGGTCGTTTTGTAACACGGATGGTACGACTGGAGCAGGAACGGTCTTGCGTGATGATATGGGAGCTGTTGTTTTTTTCAACTTGTCAATCCTTGAGATTCATGTGCGGATGAGGTGGAGGTAGAGCTCTCAGCCTATATGGAGGGATCGCGTTTGCCTTGCCATGGACTACACTGCCGATTGTTGTGGAGACCGACTGTCTCAGGGCGAAGAATCTGATTTCACAAGGGCACGCATGCCGTTCGAGATACACCATGATGGTTGATACTATCTCAAGATCCCTACATGAGGGCAGAAAGGTGAAGATCACGCATGTGAAGCGTGATCAAAATGTTGTGAGTCACTTTGTAGGTAATTTTTGTAGATGTGAGAAACACACTGTTTTGTAATTCGTTCGTGTCTGGGTGTTGTTCTAGATGGACTGCCCTTTGATTGAGGAATAAAAACACCCTGTTTCCTACAGAAAGAAAAAGTTGGACCATCGCGAACCAACTTGTAATTGGATGGTTAGAGGGACTGTGGTATCCCCAGCTCATCAGGGTTCAAATCCTGGTGCTTGCATTTATTCCTAGATTTATTTCAGGATTTCCGGCGATGCACATTCAGTGGGAGGAGACGTTCCCGTCGATGACAAGGTGCCTACGGTGACTTCGTAAATTTCAAGATGATATGCCGGCTCAGTCTTTCGGAGGTGCTCATAGGGGTAGTGTGCGCGTTTGTGCGTTCACGGGGGTTAGTGTGTGCGCGGTATATGAGCGCTTGCGTCTGTACTGTGTTAAAAAAAGTTGGACCATTGATAAAAGACATTTTGAAAGAAGGAAGAAGAGAAAAAAACTTAGACGCCGATAACGCCCACACGTGTGGGCGTTAAGGGGTCTGCCCACACAGTTTATGTGGTGTTTAAGAGGATCAGCCCACACGCCTACGTGCGGGCAAAACAAGTAATGCCCACACACCTCTTTTTTTTCCTCGCGGTCCCTCTCACATGCGTGCGTGTGGGCAAAATAGATAACGCCCACACGCCCGTACGTCAGGCCTCCTACCTTATGGTCCCGCACGCCCCGCGTGACATTCACCAGCGTCCCCGCAGTTGTCATGGTCTGGACCCTCTTCCATGTTCATTTAACTGAAGTTGCCATGTGGCTAAACTACAATTGCCATGGTTGCTCAACTGCAGTTGCCATGTATGGTCTGGTCTATTGCAGTTGCCATGATTTCAAAACTTTAGGAGTTGCCACCTACTAACACTAGGCAACTGAGAGAGTTGCCATGTGCTCACAAGCACGCTGGGGCAGTTGCCATGTAAAAGGAAGAGTTGCCATATGCTTACATGCACGTTAGGGCAGTTGCCATGTACCATAAATACACATGGCAACTCGGGTAAAAAAGAGTTGGCATCTACTTACGTGCACACTAGGCAGTTGTCGTGTACCCTGCAAAAACACATGGCAACTGACATGTACGGGTAAAAAAAAGAGTTGCCATCTACTTACAAGCAAGGGCAGTTGCCATGTACACTGCAAAACACATGGCAACTAGCAGTTTGGCGCGTGGGAGAGGAGACGGGCGCGTGGGCGAAATGACAAATGCCCACACACCAACCCTTGTGCGTGAGTGAAAACTGGCGTGTGGGCGAACTGCTAAACGCCCACACACCGGCTCCTCTGTACGGTGAAACGAACGTGTGGGCGACCGGATGAATGCCCACACACCAGTCCAGTCTTACGTGGCACCACCAACATGCCAAGATTCGTGCACCCACAAATGGACGCGGACCCACGCGTATGGGCAAGATGCAAACGCCACACCTGTGAGTGTTAGTGTTTCCGAAAAACTTAATAAAGTGGAAAGTCCACTTCGAAAAAATAATGTCATCACCGGTTCACCAAATAATTTAATACCAGAAGGACTGAAGCAGAAATACGCACACGCTATCGAAGGGAAGGCGAGGAGGAGGGCAGCAGAAACACCATTCAATCTGCTATTGTTCCCACCTCGCCGGCCGCCGCCGCCGCCGCCACCCTAACTGTGCCGAGCTCTCGCCAGAATCACATACATGAGCTCCACGGCTGCTGCGGCGCCACCAGCCAGGCGCACGCGCAGCCGCCCGCCGTCTGCCTCGTCCCGCAGGTCCGATGACCCCTCCTCCGCCGTCAACGCCAACGCCAACGGAAATGGGAAGACCTCCCCGAAGCTCGCCTCTCCCAAACATCTTCCGTAAGAGCCTCGATGCTTTCACCCCTTTTCGTATTGGGACTGCGATAGATTGGATTCTCTGACTGAGGTTGGGCTCTGGTAAGGGGGGAGAGGACGGTGAAGAAGCTAAGGCTGTCCAAGGCGCTGACGATACCTGAGGGCACGACGGTCTACGACGCGTCCCGGCGAATGGCGGCGAGGCGGGTCGACGCGGTGCTGCTCACCGATGCCCAAGGCCTCCTATCTGGCATAGTCACCGATAAGGTGAACTACTTTTATTACTTTTCAGTGGAATATGTTGTGTGCTTTCATAGTAGCTGTGGAAAAATATGATGATTTGAAGCTACGAGGAATCTAGGATATTATCTCTTCCCACTTCTCTTTTGAGAAAAAATGATGTATGGATTGGATTCTTTGGTTTGGACCTTAGCAAGTGGCCTTTTCTGTTAAGACGAGAGTTCTCTGGAGTTTTGCTACCCGAAGTTTGCTTGTCTGGTTTCCCCTAGTGTGAGACAATTTTTGTGACCATTGACTTTGTACAAATATTGGTATGTTGTGTGATTACATGTTGATCGATGGGGAAAAGGGTGAACTATGCTGAAGAAAATGTGTCACCTTCCAACTAGACAGCCCGAAGTTCTTTTTTCTCTGTTTTAGGGCTTTTGATCAAGCCAATTTTTGACAATTGCTAGTCGCTCGTTGGAAGTTTGGCTTACTGCTGTAGGCTTTCTTTTGCCCTTTCTTATCCCTTTTTCATTATGGTGTAAAGTGGAAACTGATGTCCCTGTACTTGTTTAGTAGTGGTTTCTTGCTAAAAGAAACAAATTTGGTAAAGGCAAGACAAAGATTTTCTGTGCTTGTTTTTTGTTGGCTAGTTCTGCTTTGTACTGTACTTTTTAGTAAAATGAAGTACACCATAGTAAGTTGTGAATACTTAATAACTAGTATTATCCCAAGTGGTACATGGTCTACTTTTACTGCTTTCAAGCTGAAGTCAATTTTTTTCCTTGGGATTCAAATTTTGCTGTAGGATATATCCACACGAGTGATTGCAGAGGGGCTGCGGGTGGAGCAAACCATCATGTCCAAGATCATGACCCGAAATCCTACTTATGTCACTGCTGACTCACTTGCTATTGAGGCATTGCAAAAGATGGTTCAAGGTATATTTAGTTAATACTGTCATTCCCATTATTCTGCCACTTGGCTAAAATTTGAAGGATTTTTTTGGCAGCGAAGTGAACTAAACTCCTATACTTGTAATTTTCACCAAACAGTTGCACTATGTTTTTTGATATATCACTTTGAGTAATTTTCAATTTTTCACCATCATTTCGTGCAAGATAAAAAAATAAAAAATTCACCATCATGACTCTTTCCTGGGTATCATCATACTCAATTATAATTAATTCAAGCGATTTGGTTGAACTAATTGAGAACACCTAACTGTGAAAACTGCCATGTGAAAATAAATGGTTTCACTGAAACTTTGATGCAAGATACTTAATTGCAACAACTGACATAGTTAAAAAAGGCGCACCTAAGCGAGCGCTTAAGCGCGCCTAGGCTCTAGGCGTTGGCAAAACGCATTGCGCATAACTACGCTTAATCTGCGCATAACTGCGCATAAGCATGCGCTTTGGTCAGTAAAGTGCAAGGCGGTGGCAAAACGCACAATTAACGCCTAGCGCTTTTTTGAACTATGACAACTGATAAGTAGAGAGTACTTACTGGAACATTGAAGAAAATCCACTTATGTGCAATATAAATTGCTGATGCTATTATTAGCTAGTGAGCCTCTCTGCATGTGCATTCTTAACTATTAATTGACTTCTCCCCCCGTTCCAAACTAATTGAAGTACTAAGCCAAACTTCTTCAACTTTGACCAAGCCTTTAGAAAAATTTATCAATATCGAAAACACCAAATTAGTTTTATTAGATACACCATGATTATATTTTCATGCCATATATATTAGCATATTTTCCTGTAGACTTTTTTCGAGAAAACGCAAGAGGGGCGCGCGCGCGCACACACACACACACACAAACAAGTCCGTCCTTACCAAGCGACTACAACTAGGTAAGGAGGTGCCCTCAACTACAGACATGCAACGACATTAGGCCTCGCCCAGCAGGGTAGCATCACGGCCAATGCCAGACACCTCCATGAACGATTGCAGCTCCAGGACTGCCCAGGCCAACGTACCTCGCACCCATGTGCCTAGAGAGTTGGCGGGTGAAGGGCCCGACAGGAACTGGTATAGCATTCGTTGGGGAAGCGCGGGTGGTGGCATACGTTGCGACCTGCTCCCTGTGTAGCAGTCTACGCCAGAGCGATGCATCACCAGTCTCCATCTGCCGCATCAAGTACTCCACTTGCAGCCAAAGCAGCGCCTTCAAGAGGGGAACAGCATTGAGACACCGCCGCTGCCCAGCCCGGGAGGCCGGACCTGGGATTTCTCCCGGTGCTCGAGGAGGAGATCTGGTCAGGGTCATGCCAACGCCTCCAAGGAGGTGACAGCACCCTCGGGCGTTGCCGTTGACAGCGCAGGCCGTTACCGCGCGGGGATTTCGCCCCGACGCATGAGCAAAGACCTCAGATGCAGTGGCAGACCAGACTTGGCGAAGAACGTCGGAGAAGACCAGCACACATGGAGGGGGGCCTAGGAATGTCGTCGTCACAGGAGGGGCACCGGCCAACGCAGCGTCAGCAGGCCGGCCACCGCCGGGAGCGCGACGAGCAGGCGACAATAGCCACCTGCACCCGCCGCCGCCGCGCCAGCCCGCAGCTTCCGCCACCAGGAACTGCCGGGGCACAGTAAAGCAACAACTGTCAAGGACCGCCGCACGCGTGCTCACCCACCCAGCGGCTACCACCGGCGGCGGCCGGGAGGGGTGGCTGAAGGGGGAAGGGTGGGTCGGGGCAGAAAGATTGCCGCGGGCCAGGGCGGGCTTGCACGACCCATATCTGGGCGCCCTCATTTCTGCCGCTTGCATCAATGGCCTGCCGCCGCCTCAGCAGCGCCACCGCGCGCACGTTCCACACCATCTCGACCTCCCCTGAGCGCAGACGACCGCCTGCCTCGCCACCGAGTGCTCCCGCCGCTCCAGCGCACCAAACAGCAGTGCGCGAGCAGCTCACGAACGAGGGCCCCACGCCGCCGTCCATCGGCGAGGGCTTCGCCTGCCGGCATCCTCCGGCAACGGCGAGGGGAGGGAGGGGAGCTTAGGGTGGCGGCCAGGGTGGGGTGGGGGGGGGGTTGTGTCCTCTCATTTTCCTGTAGACTTGGTCAAACTTAAAGAAGTTACTTAGTACACATTTGGAATAGAGGGAGTACATCCTGAAGTTCTAGTGTAACTTGTGATTTTTGATATTTTCAGAACTACTACAATCTTTAGGGGTGTGTTTGGTTGCGTTCTCATCTCAGCATAGTTGTTCCCTCTTCATGCATGCTCAACTCAACACCCCTCTTCATGCATGCTCTCTTCATGCATGCTCTCTTCATGCATGCTTCTAGTGTATTTGTGCTTAAGCTAGTGTGGACTCATGCACCCTCCATACACTCTACCAAACACCCAAAAGTGGGTCGGGAAGGGAACTCTTGGGCTCATGCACCCTTCGTAGACCCTACCAAACACACCCTAGATGAAATATGGTGTTTGATTTCATATCACGTGATCATTGATGAGCCTCTCTCATTCCAACTTCAAGTTGCCCTTATCTGCATGTCTAATAAAAACATGGCTTTGTTTTTCTTTGGCATGTTGCTGAGTTGCTGTCGTCATGACCCTAGTAGAATACTAACATACATATGTGGGGGCTTGTTGTTTTCTTGTTCTTGCAGAGAGACCTTGTTTAGATTGATGCTTCCTTTCTTCACTAATATTATCTTTTCCATATGTTCTTTCATCTTTTAGGTAAATTTAGACACCTCCCAGTTGTGGAAAATGGTGAGGTTATGGCTATGCTAGACATTGCAAAATGCCTTTATGATGCTATAGCAAGATTGGAAAAGGCAGCTGAACAAGGGAGTGCGATAGCAGCTGCAGTAGAGGGGGTTGAGCGTCAATTGGGAGGCAACTTTACAGGTCTTGCAATGCAAATATTTTCATTGAATTCACTCTCTTTGATCCCTGATGTAGTACCCTGATACGTAAAATGAATGGTCTATTTTGTGAGTAATAAGCATGATATGTTTACCTTTCTGAAGCAAAATAAAATGAACATTCATACCATACTGACTTATCAAGTGTATCATGTTGTATTGAACTGTTATATGTGTCTGTTTTTCTTGAGCATGTTGCTACTTGTTGTCACACCTGCATCACCTGGGTGCTTCAGGTGGACTTCAAGTGGCCTGGGACCGTGTATGCGTTTGGGTTCAGTGTGTGGGCAAGGCCCAGCCGTGGGAGCGTGTGTTATTTAAGTCTGGTGTAACCTGAAACAGGGCATGGGAGTTGACACTGGTATTCTGAATCTCACCACCTGCTCCTGTTCTCTCACCTTCTTCCTCTGCAAGCTATCTTCCTTTTCCTCACCTACTCCCTGACGTGTGATCTCGATTCCCTCCGATTGGGTCATCACACTTGTTTGTCCTTAAGAACTAGTATATTTTTTGGTGTAGTTCTGCCTTACCAATCAATTTAAGGTCTTAACTGTTTTTGCATACAGCTCCTTATGCTTTCATAGAAACTCTAAGAGAGCGGATGTTCAAACCTTCTCTGTCAACCATTGTCACGGAGGGCACAAAGTATGTTATTTATCTGCTCTGACAATTCCCTTTCAACTGCAAGTAAGATGTTCGGATAGTGAGAGTGTGATGTCAACTTTCAGGGTAGCAATTGTTTCCCCTTCAGATCCTGTGTATGTGGCGACACAGAAAATGCGTGAGTTTCGAGTTAATTCAGTGATTGTCACTACAGGGAATACAGTGCAGGGGATCTTTACGTAAGCATTCTGTAGTAGCATCACACTATTGTTTTTATTTATTTATTTTTCTTTCCAGTTATTGATAGATATTGATTCTCAAATGCAGCTCAAAAGATGTTCTTATGCGTGTTGTGTCACAGAATCTTTCCCCAGAATTGACCTTAGTAGAAAAGGTTTCTGCGCCTGCGTGACACTTGTCTTTCTTCAAATGGCATCTCATTTTGTATAATTACTTATAACTCACTGTATTAGTTGTGAATTTTATAAAGGTGATGACTGCAAACCCTGATTGTGCTACGTTAGACACGACAATTCTTGATGCGCTACATATAATGCATGATGGCAAATTCTTGCACATTCCTGTTCTGGACAGAGGTATGACCCTATTCTTATCTCAGCCTGTGAAGTGAATAGCTCTTGAGTTCCTGATGCTTCATCTGGTACATGTATTTTTTGAACAGAGGGCCAAATTGCTGCTTGCCTTGATGTCCTGCAACTTACCCATGCAGCCATTCAATTGGTGACCCCTTACTCCTTCCAGCCCTTCTCTTAACCTCTGCCAAAGTTTCCTATCCTAATTTCGTCAATGTACTACTTATTTTTAGGTTGAAGGGGGCAATGGGACTGCTAATGACATGGCAAACTCAGTAATGCAGAGGTTCTGGGACTCTGCGCTTGCTTTAGAACCTCCAGATGACGAACTTGATAGCCGTAGGTTCGTCCATGTTCATTTGTGCATTTTTGTATATATACTTTTGGGTTTTCCCTAATACAGTGCTCTCATACATTGCTCAGCGAAGCATCCTTACTTATGGCTTCAGAAGCTGGGGATGGGCGGAGTAGTATATATCCCCCTATCATTGGTAATTCGTTTCCCTTTAAGCTTCAAGACCGGAAGGGACGTGTGCATAGATTCACTTGTGGTAAGTGCTCACTTGATAGGTTGCACAAATATGTTGAACCTTGTTGCATGTTCCAGATATAACCTGATCTTTATTTGTATGGTATCTTCCAAAAATTAAACTTGTATGTTGTTGCTACAGGCTCAGAGAGCTTAAACGAGCTTGTGTCCTCTGTAAGGCAAAGATTGAGAATCATTGATGAAAAGGACATCATTCAAATCTTGGTAAGATTAAGTAATTTGGCATGAAAGGATTCAAATGTTTCAGTAGGCATGCAGAAGACAGATTAGGTGTCTGAGTCTAGTAAAAGTCAAGCTTTCCCTCTGCCAGTGCTGAAATCACCGCCTTTATATACATAAAGATGAAAGCGATTCTTATATGCATATACCTTAAACCATTGGCTGTTCCTCATTGGCCATACTACATATGGATTGCAAGAGTCTTCTGTCATCATTCATCAACCCCCACATGATAGTAAAATATTTGCCTGGACTGCCGAGCTTAATTTTAATCGTGATTTGGAATTTAGTACGAAGATGATGAGGGTGACCGGGTGATGCTGACAACGGATACTGATCTTGCTGGCGCCGTGCTCCATGCCAAATCATCCGGTTTGAAGGTATTCTGTATTCTTGGATGTTGCGATATTGCGAGTTGCATGATTCCTCAACTATTAGCTGTTTGATTTCTCATGAAAGTGAAAATTCCACTGTCAGGTTCTCAAGTTGCATATCGTGGACGAGTCTAATCCAAACACAGAGGTGGTAAAACCATTACAGGAGCTAGCACCTCGCAGCAGGAATGGTGTGTCTTCTGTTAAAATTGGGCTCATGGCTGGTGCTGTTGCTCTCAGTGGCGCGGCAGTCATGGTGTACTTGAAACGATCCAGGGTGTGATTATCAGATGAATCAATACTTTCCTAGACCCGCCTCTCAACAGCTGACATCCATCCACTTTAGAATCTATTGTTATCTTGGTATCATTGCATACTAAGAAAAGAAAGAATGAGGCACATGAGGTCACATGTTTCCAGTCTGTCAGGTAATTGAAAGGTCGAACAGCAGGCGGTAGGAGCTGCCTAATATTTGTCCCTCCACATTTTGCACAAACATCAGTGATTTCATGGCTACAACGAAACGTATAAACATAAGCGTTTATGCTAGTTCATACTTTTGCACTTTTTTTGTAGATAAACAGAGGATGTAAAATGATTTTGGAGCATAACATTAAGTGGATTATTCTCTGCCAGTGTCCTACAAAAATCAAATGTAAACAATTGGGTCATGCACACTGTCAAACATACTACTCAGGCTGACAAATAACGCCCATTATTATTTGATCCTGTGCCCTCTCAAGATCTTATCTGCCCAGTAGAGTAGGTGGGCCCTAGTTATATCCCTTTGTATATGTGATGGATTGATAATGAAGTCATGATTAGTAAAAAAGGATCGGGTTGGTGTGTGGGGGTCGAGTTATGGTTGCTGGCTGCACATGTTAGTGGTTACCTATCCCTTTTGTTGAGGTGGTTGGTAGTTTCTTAACCTCCCTAGGTGGCTTTGAGTGGAATGGAGCGATCTCGTGCTCCTCTTCCAACTATCACAAACTTGCTTTTGTAGCTTGAAAGACACTGTTTGGATTAGGCAATGATACCCAACCTTTAAGAACAGATACAACTTTACAGCCATGTGTATATCTGTCTGCTCTTCTTTACTAGTGGCACACATTTATTTATTTTTATCAACTGGGGTTAGATACTAAGGGCCCGTTCGGAAACACTCCGGCTCCCAGCTCCGCGGAGCTGAAGTGGTGGAGCGGAGCGGAGCGCAGTTCATATTTCCGGAGCTGCTATTCTGTTGCTCCGCATTCCAGCGTTGAGCGGAGCGGAGTAGCTGGAGCGGTGCGTTGCCGAACAGGCATTAAAATACATAATTTCCTTATACTTAGGTGATGTCCACAATTTGTCATGACTTGGCTAAGAGAGTTAGGATAGTGTTTACTTTTTGCGGGAATATAGTATTTGGTTAAGTACCGTAAGTTTGGCTTTAAAAACAGTAAGTTTGTCTTGCAGGGTCTTTTTAGAGGCTACCACGAAATGTATATTGTCGTTGTCGTCTTTGTCATCATCATGCACACCGTCACCGCCGCTGCCACTAGAAACTACACTAGTAGTAGTGCTTGTCCAGCCAGGTCCTAAGCTAGAATACCATATGGTTTCCCCCCGCCAACAAACCCAAGACCCTATGCCATGTTGTCTAAGAGCCACCATCAGAGCCTCTTGATTGAAGCCACCCATGTCCATGACAGAGCTGTAGAGGGAAGGTTGTATGTCGACATGCTTGGTCTCCTTGATGGCGGTTGCCATCTCCTTAACAGTCTTAGTCATGTTGCTGAAGACACTTAACTCCTCGTCCATTAAGTCGTCCCTCTTCTTCTTACTCTCAACAACAAGATAGTGATCGGCTTATCAAGACCATCAAGGATGATGGTCTCTGACTCCTGCGTGTCTGAATACTCAGGCATAGGCAAATTGAGTAGTTTTGAATGGGAGTGTTGAGGAACTCAACGTCCTTGGGGTGGTCCTAAGAAAGGAACACATTGTTGTTAGTAGTGATTAACGTGTTAGATAAGCTAAACAAGTCTTAACAAGTGGTACGGGAGCTAACCATGGTGTGGCCATGTTAGTGCTCTGTCTCCAACAGAATCATGAAGGTGTCCTGATCCCATTGTGCACCACTAAGGTCGCTGAACCTGAACACTTTAATTCATCTCGCTCTCCACTTCCCGAGGTGGTCGTAGACCTGGGTTGAGGTACCTCTTGGCCACAGAACTTGAAGACCTTCACAACAGAGTTCAAGTGCACCTCCCGAAGCACTTGCCAGTCCTCACCCTATTGGATATGATCTCACACATCTTGTTAAGCACGAAGGTGGACATGTAAAGGCTATCATTTCATCGAGTTTCCTTTTCTGGACATCTTTGCCTTTCGAGTCTTGATGGCTGCTTGATGTGTTGCAGTAGCAGGCATCATCACCACAAATGATGGCTGCCTAACAGGACCCTCGAACACTTCTAAATATGGAGGCATCTAGACAAAGGCCGGGAGTCCTCAACATAGGACGACATGATCTGGTTGTCGGACAAGACAATGGTCTGACTAAAATCTTCGGTGCTCAAATACTACAACCGTTAGCGTCATTACTAGTTCAATACACTACACATGACAAAATGAAAGACAAAGCATACTACACATGTAGCCCCAATCATGAAGTTCAACACACCGCATATGGACTAATATTCAAGCTGAAAGAAAACCAATAAGTTCAACACACTATCACACCTACATATCAACCATACTTGCATATACTAGCATACTACATATGCTCTGATCGTCAAGCTAGTACCACATCTACCATAGTATCTCTGAAACTGATATGGAAAAGAACATGAACATTATCAAAGCCTACAAGCAAAATCTAGCATGCTAGCAATCATCACCACTACCATTTGATATATCACAACATCACATGCTCATAGATCTACAATCTACTATGTTACCACATGCTCATAGGTCTACTCCTACCACATGCTGACATATCTAAGCCCGAACGAGTAGGGAGGAGGGAGTGATCGAACTTACAACTATCGCTGGATCTGGGTGGTGGAGCGGAACAAGTCAGAGAAGAGATGTAGAACGGTTGTCGCCGCCGTCTATGTTCGACCACAGAAGATGCATCGCTTACCCGCTTGTTAGTGTTGAATTCACTTGAGACAGAGAGCTTGAGGGGGAGGGGACTGGGCGAGGAAATGATGGTTGTGGTTTCGGCGGTGAGCCAAGAGAGCTAAATAGGGCAACTGATTCGGCGAGAGGTGACCTAGTTCCTCCCACCGTTTTTTCAAGAAGACATGCAAGCTCACGCCATCTCGCAGCTCGCATGAGGTCGGTGACACGTGCCCCTCTGCTGCACGTCGCGAGGATGACTAATGGGAAATGGTTGTTTCAGTTGTTCCTAGCAAACCTAGCTAAGAGGTTCGCACTATGCAGGCCAAACAGTACGCATAGACATCCAAACAAACGAAGATTGCATCCTGGGAACCGGCTCCTCTAACTTAGCTCCTGTGAAGTTAGAGCCTAACTTAGCTATGGTTTAATTGTTGGATCTAGAATAAATGGCCGAGATCTAGCGCTACAGTTCTCGAATAGTGTCAATTATTGCATGTAAGACAACAATATTTGTAGCTATAGTGATCATTCAAACAGTATGCCACAGGTCTGTGAACAATACCAAATCCTGTCCATCTATTTTTCATCCAACAGTTCCCATAGACAAAGTTAGGGTACTGTTTCCCTAACTTAGCAGAAGCTAAGTTAGAGGAGCCGGTTCCCACCACAGAGACCTGATTTAGGGGGTGCAGGCTGCCAAACTTGCCATTAGGCAAACTGCAATGCACCGACGCAATCGAACGTGGTATTTGTCCTCTTTTTTGTTCGCTTGGTTCAGTTGTAGGGGCAGCTTCCGCCCTTGGTTGTGCATTTCTGGGAAGTGTGTCCAACGGGCCGACCCATGTGGTCCACCTCACTAGTTTTTTTTGCCAATTTTTCTCTATTTGACATTCGATACATATAAATCAAATGAACAAATAAAAATAAAACATTGAACATGATTAAACAAACAAGTCACATAGTTTTCATAACACAATAAAAATCTCATAGTTTACAACCAAATGAATTTAAAATTATAGCAAATACATTGAAAGAAAAGGAGCGGGTACATCTACTGGCTTCCTATGTGAGTCCACATATACTCAACCAAATCATTTTGAAGTTGAATGTGAGTTGTCCAATCACGCATTTGTTGATGAAATGGGGTGAGTTGTGCAAACATTGCTTCTCCATACTTAGGATCAACATTTTCACCCTAGTAGTCCCTCCCTTGGTCAAAGAGGTTGTCATCACGCTCATCCTCTACGATCATGTTGTGCATGATCACACAATCAGTCATCGCCTCCAACATCCTCTGAGTGCTCCATGTTCTAGCAGGGTACCGAACAATAGCCCATCGAGATTGGAGCACACCAAAAGTACGCTCCACATTCTTCCTAGCCACTCTCTTGTTCTTGGGAAAACCTAGCCCTCTTCTCTCCTACAGGATCAAAGATTGTCTTGACAATCGTAGACCATGAGGATAGATACCAACAGCTAGGTAGTATCCCTTATTGTATTGGTGGCCATTGATCACAAAGTTGACCTATGGGGACTTGCCTTCTGATAGCCTCGCGAACTCTTGAGAGCACTAAAGCACATTGATATCATTGTGGCAACCTGCCATGCCAAAAAAAGAGTGCCAAATCTAGAGATCTTGTGATGCCACAGCTTCAAGTATGACCGTGCAAGCTTTAGCATGTCCCTTATATTGCCCCTACCAAGTAATGAACAAATTTTCCACTTATAGTGCATACAATCTATGCTTCAAAGCATTCCCAGAAAGCCTCTCGATTCATTGCCCGCTAACAGTCGGGCTGTATCCGCATCATTTGGTTCTCTCAAGTACTTCGGGCCAAACGCTGAAGCCTAGCTTTGCAGAACTCGTGCAATGCCTCAAATCATGTGGACTCATTCATGCATACATAATCATCCACAAGATCATTGAGAATTTTGTATGCAAGCATCCGAACAACTGCAGTACATTTCTGATAAGAGGAGAAGCTAATTTCCTAGGGCATCAGCTAGCATTTGAAGTAATCATCATACCCCATCACTCCCTCCCAAATACGGATGAACGCATGTCTCATCATCCGAAAGTGTCGTCGGAAAAGCTTGGCAGATAATAGTGGGTCACTGAGCTTGAAATAATCGATGTAGAGTAGGCAACAACCGCTTTATCTGTTATGATTCAAC